ACACCCACACCCACACCCACACCTACACCCACACCCACACCCTATTATTCTCGATTTTGTTATTACGAATTAATTCTTAACTTCTTCAGTTTTATTTGGAGAGTTTCGAATTGTTATGTAATTATAGATTGTAAACATGCCTGATGATTGAACCCTTAAGCAAGGTTCGAAACGCGTCGTGTGATGCTTTGAATTTCAAATCTTGAGTTCTAAATTATATGATTTTAAAAAGTATTATGTGGTGATTTTCAACTTTATTCAAGTTTTGAATCAACTACACTAGTACTTAGGCCACTTGATAAGATTGAGTCAGCAACATTCGAAATAACTTGAGTTATCGTGGTAACTATTACACAATCCATAGTGATATTGCATTTGTACAGTAGTGAACAATCGCTCTTTTTTTTATACTGTACTTCTAATTATTAATATTACAATTAATCTTCAAAAATAAATTATTTCTGCTAATTTGTTCAATTGACTTTTATTCATATGAAAACGAGAAATCAATATTACGTGCGCAAGATTCCCGTGCTAATTTCCTCGTGGGCAACTTTCCGTGCGCAATTTTTCTCGTGCGCTTTTTTCCTAGATCCTACACCCACATCCACATCCACACCCCAGTAATTGAGAACAATAAGGCTTCAATCCCAACTCCTTCATCATTTGTGGAAGACTGCTTTTAGACAGATTTAACTTCAATGAAGCTCTTCTTAATGATGTTCCAGAACTTTTTTCAAACGCTGCACGAACACGTTCTTTGTTTTCATTGGTACTGGCAGATCTAGGTTTGCCAGATCTATGTTCATCTTCAATACTTCCGGTTTCATCAGGTTTTTGTATAAGATTCAAAATACACTTTCGTGTTGGAGGAGTTCGATCATAACATTGTTGAAACTGACGAACAACTTTACTTTCATTCTGGTACATAGCATACCATTTTACAATTTTAATTCTTTCAGATGTCGACAAACGAGAACTTTCACTCATGATTAAAAGAATATGAAAAACACAGTTGGAACGTCGAAAAAAGAAACAGATAGTAAACAGAACAAAATATGAACCCCTAAATAAAAGAGATACACATTCGTATTGTTTACTGCAGACGTCAACACTAGTGTATATATAAATACTACAAAATACAAGGTAGTATACGTTACGACAGTGGAAAGTGTAACTGTCAAGTATGTTTCCATTTTTTTCGGTGATACTATATTTGTATGGTTTTGAACAAACCACTACACTCAGATACTGTTCATGTA